GGATGTGTCGTAATTCGATATCTTGAACAGGGAGTCTACGCTGTGCAATCTAGGTGGTGCCACCGATGTGACGCAATATCTGCGGAGCAGGTTGCGTACTGCAATATATGTGCTGCGCGCTACGTGGCGCAATATATTTGGTGCAATGAATTGCTGCTCGCAGTGGGTTGCTCACTCCACTGCTCGCGCAAACATCCCACCCACCCACCCGCAACTTGGTTTACAAACCTCATGCGGCGGCGATTGCGATGAGTGCTTGGCGCTGGCTGGTGCATCTCTGCGGCCGGGCCAGCCCGCGCATGCGCGCGCAGCGGCCAAGTAGCTTGCCCCGACCGACGAGGTCGCGGTGGTGCTGGCCGCTCGGCGCATCCCAGCGGGCACTTGGGTGCGAATCGGAGGCTTGGGCGGGCGCGGTCCCATGGCAACGTCGACAAGTGTAGACACGATGACGAGGATTGTGGCAATGTTGGTGACGACAAATGTAGCCACAATGATGAAAATAGTGGCGATGGCGGCGCCGAAGCCGATCACGCCGACGACGATGACGGCGTCTTCGCGTCGGTGATGCAAGTTTTGGAAGGACCTCGGAATAGGCGCGGCAGACGCGCGAGAGTGGCTCGCATTGTATTGTTTGACACGGATCGTGCCACCCTGGCACGCGCGCAAGCAAGTTCGAACGACTTCGACATGCGCACGCGCGTGAAGCCCATGTGCTAGCATTTGATGAAAATATTCAAACACGTATGGTTTTCTTGAGACTTCGCAAAACCTCGCGCACGCTTTCGTTGAAAATCCGTGTTGTGAAACCTATGTATTTGTATGATGTTGGGGGCACTCGATTTGAAACCCGTCCGAAACCGAAGGTGTATGAAGGATTTCGGCACGCGCGCGTGGCAGGCGCGCGCGTGTGCACTTCGTCACATTTTTTCGCAGAGGATTCTCGCGACGGCACGCGCGCAAGGGCGTTCGAACGAGTTCGACATGCGCGCGCGACGCTCGTTTGGGAGTACTTTTTAACAGTTTTGAAAACAACCATGGTTTTATTGAGACTTCACAAGAACGCGCGCACGTTTTTTGTTGGTTTTGTCTTTTTTGCTTGTGTTTGAAAATCCGTATTACGAAACCATACGTTTTTATATGTTTCTTGGACACTCGATTTTGAAATCCTTCCGAAGCTGAAGGCTTTTGAAGGACTTCGGCATGCGCGCGCGACGACGCGTGCGTGCGCACTTCGTCATAGTTGTTGCAACATATTATTGAAAACTTCTGATTTTTGATAAACGAATGTGCGCGCATAGTAGCTGTTGCAGAAGATGACGGGGAGGGCCGATACCGGCCTGGATGGAATAATATGAATTCACAGTAGGATGGACATTGGGTCAGAATCCTTTGTGTTTTGTACTGGTTCCTGGGGGGTCTTTAACCCGGGGGGGGGGGGGGAGGGTGGTAGAATATATTTCCTTTTTAGAAAGGAGAATATATGTGATGCAATTTATGTGGACAATATAGGTGGTGTAAGCTATGTCGCGCACGGAAGACAATGCAAATCAATGTCAAGCAGTGCAAAGTAGCACAAATAAGGCAATGCAAATCCGTTGAACACAATGCAAAGTCACGCAAATCAATGCAACGCAGAGCAATGAAAAGCAACGCGATGCAAAGCAATGCAAAGCAAGGCAAATCAACGCAACGCAAAACACTGCAACGCAACGAGCGGCGACACGGCGGCGACGGCGGCTACAAAGCTGCCAGACCGGCACACAGGCCCAGACGACGGGCGGCGCCGAGGCGGCGACGGCGGCTACATAGCTGCCAGACCGGTACGCAGGCCCAGTTCCTTCGAAAACAAGTAAGCACCCCCAAGTGAAAGCACTGCTTGGGAAACCATAGATATCAAAATAATACCATGCAGTACCCCCTGCGGAAACAAGGCAATACCTCTTGCGGGGGACAAGCCAATACCCCCTGCAGGGGACAGTGCAATACTCCCTGCGGGGGACAGTGCAACACCTCCTGCAAGGGAGAAACCAATTCCCGCATTGGAGGACAATACAATACCCCCTTGCGGGGGACAATACAATGCCTCCTGCGGAGGACAAACCAATACCCACTGCCTCGGACAAGACCACTTGGATGTTAAATCCATCCGACCCCATTGAATCATGATAGGACGGCATTGGATTCCATAGGGCTCAATTCGACTCGATACGACTACATTGGCCGTCATTGTACTCCAGTGGGCTGCAGAGGCCACCTATGGACTCCATTAGTCCGTTGGACCCAACGGGGGCCGCTGCCCTCCACTGGACCCTCATAGGACTCCATATGACTTCACTGGGCTCCACTGGAATACCCATATGACCCTGTTTGTCTCCGTCGGATTCCGTTGGGCTCCATTGAACTCGCTTCGAATGCACATGCGACAATACACTGGTGTCCTACATTGGACTCCATTGGAGACCATTGGCGTCCAGCGGATTACCCACCATTGAAATACCCAGGATCGTGCAGGGGCAAAAAAGGTGGGGGAGAGGGGGGCACTCCAGCCAGTTCACCCTATTGAGTTGGGACGCTATAAGCAAGTCTAGCTCGAGAATTACGAACAGATTTGTCGCACTCATGGCCATCATCCAAAGACAGACCGTGCTCGCACTCACCGATTCAGGACGGCGTAAAGCGTCCCGAGAGGCCCCAGGTACTCCCACGAAGCCTCAAGAGACTGCAATAATCAATCCAGGAATTGACATATCATTGTTGTCTGTGTCGCCAACGACCTTCCGCCCCCCTCGACCTCAACAAATCCCTCGAGAGCCCCGAGACGACCCCAGCTCAGCAAGCCCATATGAACGGCCCAAAGACTGCACGACACACTCCCCAAACGGCCCCAAAAACAACCAGAGAGGGTTCCAATACAGCCAAACGACCCGCCATGACGCCCCCAAGACGGTTCCACCAAGCCCCCCAAAAGGTCCCCCCCCGAAGCCTCCGCGAGGCCTCTGAGAGACCCTCAAGAGCCAAAGCTGCAGCCATGCAACGTCACGGCCACGCTCCAATGCCGTGTCGTGGCGCTACTGTCCAGACCGCCCCAAGACGGCCCTACCAGGACTCTCAGGAGAGCATGCATTTCGATGCCGCGCTGGCGAGGTCTGCCGCAGGCAACTGCGCAACACAAGAAACTCGAACCTACGCTGCCACCACTACTGCAGTTGCCGTGCTGCTTATGCCACTGCAGACGATGTTGGTTCTGCTGCTACTGCAAATACTTTAGCCGTCGCGCCTGCTTGCGCTGCTGCGACTAGGGTTATTGCTCGTACACACGCAGCGCGTACTACTTACGTATTGCGACATACTCTACTCTACTCTACTCTGCTCTGCTCTGCTCTGCTCTACTCTACTCTACTCTACTCTACTATGCTGTACGATGCTTCGGCTGCAACTGTAACTATCGCTGATACGATCTGTAATGCTGGTACGACTTCAACGGCTACTGGGCTGCTAGGGATGTGGCGCACGCTGGAGCGGCGTCACCATCAGCACGTGAAACACCACGACAAATGCGAGAGCACCACCGTTCTGGCCCGTATTGATGCACGAGCACTTCTGATACAAGAGACGGGAGCGACACTGGGGCAGGAACATTGATTACAAGCTGGCATGGTATGAAATGGTGGCCAACACCGAGGTGGTAGATTGTTTCCCGGGAGCGCGGCTCGAGGCAAGGGCAGAGCATCCTGGGCCGGGCATGAAGCCAACAACAAAGGCGGGGTACCAAACTTCCAAAAAGCGGGTAGGAACCGTCCACCAAGTACTGCGGCCCCTGCCTCCTCTCTGCCCGACGTTCTCCTTCTCCCCCTCCCACGCACAGACTGGGCGGGTCCCTGCCGGCACAGTAACCTGCCAAAGTACAAGTTCCTCAAGTGCCAGCGCTGTGTGCAGACTGCTTCAACCATGTGCAACCCATCAACAACTCACATAATGCTGCATCCGAGCCGCCAGTTGCGGCAGCGCGATCGCTCCCTTTTTCGCGCCGCGCGGCGCCTCTCCCCAACGCTGGGGCCCTCTGGGCCTCCATGCCATTGTCGCCCACGCAGCACCCACGTCTCTGGTCGGCCGCTCAGCAGGAAGTCAGCCCTGGCCGTCAGATCGAGGGCCCGGGGCACCACGGCCAGCACTCTGGTGCTGGAGGCGCCGCGGAACAGGGCACCGTCTCGAGGGAAAGGCAGCTGGCCCTGCTCGTCAGGCGACCAGTCCAAGCTCTGCAACCTCAGCTTCGGAGGCCACAGCGGGGAAACTCGGGAGCAAGTCGAGCACCTGCATATTAGTGACAAGCATCAAATCATGACGCGGAGACCCGCACGGTAGAGCGTGACGTGAGAGAGCCGCAATGAGGACATGCAGCGGCACGAGGTTGCATGCAACAAGTGCACACCCACGACAAACCTCAGCCATGACAGCTTGGTCTAGCTTGGCTGAGCATCCCCTAAAGCAAAAGAGAATAGTCCGCTCAGCGGACTAGCCAAGCAGAGCGTACACAGACAGCTGGCGAGCACGCACTTATGCACGTACGCGCAAACATTCACACACACAAAAACACACCGAAGCAAACCCCACACAACACGCATGCAAACAAATAGACAAGCACACACAATCACACCAACACGGCACTATACATACACACATACACACACACACGCAAACGCACACGCGAAAACACGGGTGGGACGTGCACGGGCATGCACGGGTGCATCGTTAACTTCAATTTCGAGCATATGCTAGTGTCAACGCCGACAAGACAACCATGCAAACCACGATCGCCTGGCGCAGAAGCACCCGCTCGCAAGCGACGTTTAGAATGTATACAGCGACGCATCATCTCCGAGCTCGATTGATGCTGACAGAAGGTGATGTACCGCATCGGTGCCCACCTCGGCCCTGGGCTTTGGCCTGGAACGCTCTGCGTCCCTTAAGTGCGCGACGCGTCCTTCGTAAAGGGCTCCAGGTCACACATGGTCTGTGGCAGCGTTGCGGCAAGACCTCCTCGGCGGCCCCAGGGCATCATGGTGGCAGAGTAGCAGCGCGCCCGCGAGGTCGGACAGCGCAGATTGTGCGTGCGTGCCACCACACACCTCAGCACCCGAGAACGCACATTTGACGTCACGGTGGTCCTACCAGGAAGCGTTTTTGCCCCCCCCCCCCCCCCCGCACAGGCGACGATAATACCTCGACATCTGAGCACTGCAGATCACCACATGGCTGGAGATCCTACCAGGAAGCTAAGATCACACATGGCCGGACTCAGGTGAGGAACGTGCGGAAGCCGCTCGACTGATGCACACACACACACCAAGACCCTGCGCCAGGGAGACGTGCGGCCACGGCCCCCGAACAACCCGACACCCAGACTGCAGCTAGCCCGGTTCCTCCTCCCCCTCCTCTTCCCAATTCTCTGCGGGCCACGGACCAGTTAGTATCGCCGAGACGCTCTCGGGAGCCCCCTGGCCCCAATGCAAACACACGTGACTCGCTTCCTCCTCATGTTCGTCGCCCTTCCTCTTCTTCCTCCTTGCTTCCTCGTTTCTTCTTCTTATTATTGTTATTATTCTTCCTCGTGCTTCCTCGTCCTCTCCCATTCGTAATGCTGCAGCTGGTAGTGCTTCCCCTCTTTTGGTCTTGTCACCAAGGCTCACCTTACTAATTGCACCCACTATCTCCTACTAACTCTTCATATCCATCCTACGAGCATGGCTGCACGAGCGCGTCCCTGCGATGAGCAGTGAGAGATCCAGCGATGCCACTGGCCGCCAAACTTCTCTACGCGGGAACTACCAGTCGGCCTGGATAGAGTTGTGCCCGCAGCCGCACTGCGTCGCCGCTGCTTTCTGTCTTCACCGCTGTCTGCTCTGTCGCCGCCGTCGTCGCCCCGCCGCCACCGCAGTCGCACCTCGCCTACGCCTCTCTGTCGCCTCGCCTCGCCGCTGCCGTCTTGGAAAGCAAGTCTCGGAAGCTTCAGGTCGTCCCCGTAGCGCCCAAATGCGCGCCCAATCGGGCGCAAAACGAACAACATGCTTCTCCCTCACACTGCATAATTGGGCGCTGTATGACCGCTATTCGGCGCTGCGGGGCGCTGTTGGGCGCTACTTGGCGCTACTGAGAGCTATTGGGCGCCAGTCGTCGACATAGAGTCAATCCAAGACAAGCGGGAACTTCTGTGATTTCAAATTCACTATCTCAGGCCGTCTTCTCTGTCGCCGCCGCCGTCCGCACGGGCGAAGAGGGGGCGAGGGGCGCTCCGGCGCCGGCACCCGCCGCGCCCCGCAGCGCCGCCCAGGGCGCCGCACAGCCACGGCGACACGCCCTCTCGGCCGCGGCGGGCAGCGCGCCGTGACCCTGCGGGGCGGGGGGGGCTCGTGGCTTGCGGGCTCCTGCTCTCCGCTCGTGCTCCCCGGCACCAACACCAGAGGCGGAGTCCCAAACCAGGACTACCGCAAGAAGCAAGAAGAAATCCGAGGCCCTGCGTGTTGCCTCCCACGCAGTTGCCCCGGCTGTGCTGGTCTCATCCATCCCTCGGCGGCTAAAAGCTGGCCGCTGCCGACGCCGAAGTCGGAGACGCGCGCCGAATCTCCCGCGAGTTCTCTGGCGCTGCGTGCCCGGGGTACCTCCAGCTCTGCCTCGGTTTATATGTGTGCACATCGGGCTGCACTGATCTGCATCGCCTCCTCTGGATCGGGACCCCGCGTAGGCCGCCGAGGGGCGCGCCGACGCTGCACGTCGGCGCGCCCCCTGGCCGACGCAGACGCTCCAACTCCACGTCGGCCGCGGGGTCACGCCTGCGCGCTCCTCGCTGGGCGACGGGCGCGCCAACTCTCCGCGCCGATGAGCACGCCGATCCGCGCCAGCGCTCCGTCCGCGCTGGGACCAGGGGCCCACCAGCGCTCCACGCGTCTGCCCCTCGCGTGAGGGCGGGGGGCCGAACCAGAGAGCCTGGCTCGGCCACGGAGCGGCCTCGACCGTCAGTCTTGTGAATTGGTGGGGCCAGCGATGCCTAACCCGGCTTCGATCGGGCGGTGCTGCTTGGCCCACCGTCCCCAAGACTCTGCCCCCACCCACCCACCCCCTCCCCTCCACCTCTCGCCATCCCCTGTCTCCTCCCTCCTGCGGCCCGGGGGCACCCGAGTGGGTCCCCAACCCCGTCGATCAGGGGGGGCCCCCGGGCCTTGGGGTTGGGGTCCGACGTCTCGCCGCCATCAGGGCACTCCAACTCTCACCGTACCGTCCCATGCCTCCTCCTCCTCATCATCATCCGCTCCCCCCTCCCGGCCCCCCCCCAAATCCCTCTACCTGCTCACCACCTCCCCCCCCCCTCACCCTTCCAACATCCGTTTCCCCCGCCCCCCTCCCCCCTCCCCCTCCCGCCGATGCGCCGTCGCCAGGGCTTCCTCTTCACGGGGGCCACGCGCATGAGGGAGGGCAGCCTGCTTGGCGTGCCCGCGGCACTCCGCCCCCCCTGCCCCGCCGAAAGCGCCTGCAGCAGCGCCGCCCCAGCGGCCTCCGCGCTGGCCGTGGGCGTTCGCCTATGCGGCACCGGGAGCGGAGGGCGGGAGGGGGGCGGGGCGGGGCCGGGGCGAGGCGAGGAGGGCGCCCCGCGCTCACTGCTGCGAGGCGCAGGCTGGTGTGCCGCAGCAGACCGCGCGAAGGCCTCGAGCAAGCGCGGTGCGCGGATCGAGGCGAAGGGCGACGTTCGGGGAGCAGGCGAGCGCCCGGCCCGCCGCAGCCAGCCAAGTGCAAACGCCTCTGCACGAGGGATCGGGTTCACACGTGGCGCCCTCCCGGCCTCCAGAGGTCACGGCCCGGCGTGGCCCGTGCTCGGGAAGCCTTGAGTCAGAGAGGCATCGGCATCTCTAGGAGGGGGGGGGTATTTTGACTCCGCCTGCAGAGAAGCCCTCGTATTGCTCTCGCGGGTTTCTGCCGAGGCGAGAAGTCGGCCCCTCGACCCCTCGAAAGGGCCATTTATGGGACACCCTTGATGGTACCTCCCGCCTGCGCTCCTCGCCCTGCTCCTGCTCCTCCTGCTCCTCCTGCGCCTGCTCCTGCTCCTGCTCCTGCTCCTGCTCCTGCTCCTGCTCCTGCTCCTGCTCCTGCTCCTCTCCTCCTCCTCCTCCTCCTCCTCCTCCTCCTCCTCCTCCTCCTCCTCCTCCTCCTCTCCTCCTCCTCCTCCGCCTCCTCCTCCTCCTCCGCCTCCCTCCTCCTCCTCCTCCTCCTCCTCCTCCTCCTCCTCCTCCTCCTCCTCCTCCTCCTCCTCCTATAGGTGGCTCCAGCGCCGAGACCGTTCGCGTTTCCCTCGCACGGCCCGACTTTCGCTCAGCCCCCAGTCGCCAGGCGTCCTCCTGCTGGGCCCGGGCGCTCTCCTCATGAAGGGCGCTTGCGCCGCCCCGCCTCGCGAGGTGGGCGCGACCTCGCCCTCAGCCCGCAGGCGGCGGCGGGCTGCGATTGCCGCGGTCCGACATGCGTGACGGGCGGCCTGCGCGCTCACCGCAATGCTCGGGACGTTGCCTTGCGTGCGGACGGTGCAGCCGCCCATCGAGCGCATCGCCCACCTGTCGGCGGCGGATGGCGATCAGTTGGCTGGCCGGGTTATCCTGGACTGCTTTGGCGACGCGTCCGTGGCTCACACGGCCCCTCACTCATGCCACATCCCTCGGGCAGCCGCTGGGGGAGTTCTTCACGGAGCCGCCAGTGTAGCGTCTTGTTGGCAGCATGTTTCTCGCCCTGTTCCTGGGCCTCGCGGGCGCATGTTTCTGGGAGTCTCTGCTGCTCGTGCTGGTGCTTCGCTTCGTCGTGGTGTTCCTGGGCCTTGCGATCCTTGCAGTCGCACCGGTGTCTTCCTTCGCCCTGTACCTGGACCGCGTGTTCAATGGCCTTTCTGCTGCTGGTCCAGACGCTCATCCTCGCCGCGCTGCTCGGGGCCTCCGTGGTGATGCGGACGCCGTCTCGCTACGTGGTGGAGCTGGTCCAGCGTATCGGGGGCTTCGCGGTCCGTGTCGCGGGGGTGATGAAAGGCTTCCTCGCCCTGTGCCTGGGCCTCGTGGGCGCGTGTTCAAGGGCGTTCTTGCAGCTGGTGCGGCTCTTCGACCAGGTCGTGGCGATCTTCCTGGTCCTGATGGCGTTCAAGGGTGTGCGGATCTACTTCCTTGTCCTGCGGATCTTCCTGGTCGTGCTGAATTCCTCGGAGGACTGACGGATCTTCCTGGAGGCGCGGTTCTTCGGCCATTTCGTGGCGAACTACTTGGTCCTTCGGATCTTCCTGGTCTTACTGGTCGTGAGGCGCTTCCCGTTCCTGCGGATCTTGTCGGAGGCCTTGCTACTCTTCCTGTTTGTGCGGATCTTCGACCAGTTCGTGGCGAGCTTCCTGGTCCTGCGGTTCTTCCTTGTGGTTCGGATCCTCTTGACGTTCATGTGTGTGCGGATATCCTTCCTTGTCCTGCAAATCTTCGTGGTCGTGCTGATCATTTCGGAGGCCTGGCGGGTCTTCCTGGTGGTGCGGTTCTCCGACGCCTTCGTGGCGATTTACCTGGTCATGTGGATCTTCATGGTCGTACGGATTCTCTCGAGGGCCCTGCAGCTCCTCCTGTCTTCAAGCCCGACGGTGGTGTGGGGGTTGGCGGCAGCATCTCGGCCGCAGCCTCCTCGCCCTTCGATTTCTCTGCCCTGGAGACGGCGTGGGCGGCGGCTGCGAACGAGCTCACCGGGATCTTTGCACACTCTTCTGATGAAGGTGGGATGGCCATAATCTCTGATATGCTGCGGGCAGATAGCCTAGACGAGATTCTGTGCCCGTCCTCTCACAATCAACCGGGTCAGACCAATGCGGCTTGCCTGGAGCCCTAGCAAGCAGGGAGTGGCTTCGGTGGTCTCCCCTCGCACGGAGGGGGGCACAGCCTGGCGGATAGCACGCGCTGTCCTGTCCCAGGTGATGCCGCAGACCTGGTTCAGGGCATTTCTCGAGGGAGTGGCTTCGGTGGACTTCCTGCATCTTGCGGGAGGCACGGCCTGGCGGATAGCACGAGCTGTGCGATCCCAGGTGACGCCACACACCTCCGCTCCCAGGGAGCGGCTTGGGCGGACTCCCCTCGCTTTGAGGGGGGCACAGCCTGGAGGATAGGGCATAGCGCTTGATGCCGCAAACCTGTTTGGAGCTCTGGGCTGACGTCTTCCCTGCGCCAGCCCAGTTCCTTCCCTTTTTCATTCATGGGTCTGGGCGCTCTCCCCGCGATCCCTCGGGTGGGGGGGCGCGCCACTGACATACCCCGAGACAGGGTGTCTGGCCCTGTCTCCTTTGCTGTGTCGGGAAGTGCACCGCGCGCCCGCTCCAGCTAGTGTCGCATCCTCCTCATCCTCCTCCTCCTCCTCTTCCTCCTCCTCCTCCTACTCCTCCTCTTTAGTTGCCCATGCCTTATGCGTCCACATGTGGCGTTCATGATGCGAGGCTAAAAATTATCCCAGTGCGACCCTACCTAGGAGTTGGAGCCCCTAGGAAAGCAGCATTTGTAGTAACAGTAAAGCTAAGCTAAAGCTAAGCTAAATCTAAGCTGAAGCTAAGCTAAAGCTAAGCTAAAGCTAACACTAAGCTAAAGCTAAGCTAAAGCTAAAGCTAAATCTAAGCTAAAGCTAAGATAAAGCTAAAGCTACAGCTAAGCTAAAGCTAAAGCTACAGCTAAGCTAAAGCTAAGCTAAAGCTAAGCTAAAGCTAAACTAACGTTAAGCTGAAGCTAAACGAAAGCTAAGCTAACGCTAAGCTAAGCTAATACTAAGCTAAAGCTAAGCTGAAGCTAAGCTAAAGCTAAGCTGAAGCTAAGCTAAAGCTAAGCTAAAGCTAATATAAAGCTAAGCTAAGCTAAGCTAAAGCTAAGCTAAGGCTAAGCCAACGCTAAGCTAAAGCTAAGCTACAGCTCAGCTAAATCTGAGCTAAAGCTAAGCTAAAGCTAAGCTAAATCTGAGCTAACGCTGAGCTAACACTGAGCTAACTCTAAGCTAACACTAAGCTAAAGCTAATATAAAGCTAAGCTAAAGCTAAGCTAAAGCTAAGCCAACGCTAAGCTGAAGCTAAGCTACAGCTAAGCTAAAGCTGAGCTAAAGCTAAGCTAAAGCTAAGCTAAATCTAAGCTAACGCTAAGCTAACACTAAGCTAACTCTAAGCTAAAACTAAGCTGAGGCTAAGCTAAAGCTAAACTAACGCTAAGCTAAAGCTAAGCTAAAGCTAAAGCTAAAGCTAAGCTAAAGCTAAGCTGAAGCTAAGCTAAAGCTAAGCTAACGCTAAGCTAAATCTGAGCTAAATCTAAGCTAAAGCTAAAGCTAAAGCTAAAGCTAAGCTAAAGCTAAGCTAAAGCTAAGCTAAAGCTAAGCTAACGCTAAGCTAAGGCTAAGCTACAGCTAAACTGAAGCTAAGCTGAAGCTAAGCTACAGCTATGCTGAAGCTGAGCTAACACTAAGCTAAAGCTAAGCTACAGCTAAGCTAAAGCTAAGCTAACGCTAAGCTAAAGCTAAGCTGAAGCTAAGCTAAAGCTAAGCTAAAGCTAAGCTAAAGCTAATATAAAGCTAAGCTAACACTAAGCTAAAGCTAAACTAACAATCAGCTGAAGCTAAGCTAAAGCTAAGCTAACGCTAAGCTAAAGCTAAGCTAAAGCTAAGCTAAAGCTAAGCTAAAGCTAAGCTAACACTAAGCTGAAGCTAAGCTAAAGCCAAGCTAAAGCTACGCTAAAGCTAAGCTAACACTAAGCTAAAGCTAAGCTAAAGCTAAAGCTAAAGCTAAGCTAAAGCTAAAGCTAAGGCTAAAGCTCCCAGGGGACTGGGGGAACCGCGGGGCGGGGACTGGGGGAACCGCCCGGGGCGGTTTCCATTGCCCAGCCCCTTTAGCTAAGAGAGTAAGAACCCTTCTAGGCAGAGCCTAGGTAGGGAAAAAGTAGACGACTCGGCGCAAAAAGTAACTACCTGGCGGGCGCCGCAGCTGAGGCGGTAAGGATAGACAGTCCTTCCCCTCCTCATCCTCCTCCTCCTCCTCCTCCTCCTCCTCGTCCTCCACCACCTCTCCTCCACCTCCTCTTACTCCTCCTGCTCCCCCTCCTCTTCCTCCTCCTCCTCCTCCTCCTCCTCCTCCAGCTCCTTCTTGTTTTTCTTCTCATCCGTCCTACCCCCTCCTCCTCCTGCTCATTATGATCCTGCTCGTGCTCGTCTCCATTACCTCTTGCCGCTGATCATTATCCTGCTGCTGATGTTACTTCTGATCCTTCTCCCTGCTCTTGCTGCTCCTCCTCCCGCTCCTTCCTCCTGCTGCTGTTCCCCATGCTCACTGCTGATCCCCAGTCCTCCTCCTCTTCCTCCAGCTTATCAAGGTCCTGATGCTGCTCTTCCGCACCATCCTCTTGCCACCGTGGCACCGTGATGCCTCGGCGGGTGCGGCTCCTCTCTCGGTGCCCTCGCCTGGCCTTCTTGGAGCTCGCTCGGGCACTCGCTTCGGCACACCCTGGGCCCCCCCCGCTCCTCCTCCTCCTCCTCCTCCTCCTCCTCCTCCTCCTCCTCCCTCCTCCTCTCCTCCTCCTCCTCCTCCTCCTCCTCCTCCTCCTCCTCCTCCTCCTCCTCCTCCTCCTCCTCCTCCTCCTCCTCCTCCTCCCCCCCCCCGTCCTGGGGCCCCTCGGTCAGCGCGCGGCCGCAACGCCCCCCCGCCCCCAGCGCGGCCTCCCGTGGCAGGCGCGCCCGCCCCCCCTCCGCAGCCGGGCCAGGAGCTCGCGCAGCCTCCTCCGGGACGGGGAGCCAGGGCAGGAGCAGAGGCGGGGCAGCAGAATCTCCGTGGGGTCCCCGTCCGGGCTGCCCTGCAGGGCGCATCCGACAAAGCAGCGCTGTCCTCTGAGCGAGTTCCCTCGATGCCGAAACCGCGGGCTGCGGAGGCCCCTCTTCAAGGCCTCGCAGCACGAATTGCACGGTCCGATTGGAGCCTCGTCAGGCACGCAGCCCATACGGGGGGCGAAGAGTGGCAGGAAGACGAGGCGACCACACCATTACATACCATCCAGCCAACTCCAGAATTCCTGGGCATCCCAGTCCCAGCGCTGATCCCCTTTCGGGGGTCTGGCCTGACTTCTGCCGGCTTCCGATGCGTTTCCATGGCGCTCTATAGATTTCTATAGGTCGGTGCCCATTTCGAAACGTCGCATCTGGACGGGGGCACACAGAGAAGTCAGGGCTCGTTGTAGTATATAACATTTGTTCTTCGCTCGCGCAGGGCATCCAGCAAAACCACATCCCGCAGACCAACGCAGGGCACCCTGGATATTAAGAACTGTAAACGCCCGTCCACGCCCCGCAACTAGTATCAAGTCAGTACGGAGAGCTAGTGAGAATGCGAAATAGAACTCACACAATTATCAATGCCAGCGCAAAGACTTGTGAAGATGGAACCTGTACTAACTACCAATACCCAAACCAATGTGAACATCAGAAGCACAATCCGTCAAAATACCGGTACCTACCGATGTCTCCCAGCACCAATACCCAGTCTCGTTTCTGACCATCCGTTTTTTTCTTGGATACGTAGATCTCGTTGTGCCCTGTCCGAATCTCCTCCATTGACCAGAGCTGCTGCAAGCGCGTGCAGCTGAAGCACAGCTCAGAGGGTCCAAACCACCGCAGCGTTCCCGCGCCGAGGTCTGACATGTTAACGCCAGGCGCCACTGCTGTGCGCTGGCCTCAGTCTGATAGTTTTAGGGCGACCTGATCAGAATGACTTGCACAAGACTTGCCGATCGCGCAATCAATGACATGACGGTAACATCGAACGATGAAACTTGGCACTGGACAGCATTGCTCCCACCGACAACTGCCTGAGCCTCGAAACGCATGGAGGACGAAACCCTGCCAAACGAACACCCGCGGATCACAGACTTGCTGCCCGATCAATGAATGCCTGCACAAATGGCTCAATCCTTCTCCGCTGAATCGGATTGTAATGAGTCGCTTTTTCATGGACGCAACCTTGCTCCCAGGAGGAACCAGCTACAGTCAACCCGTATAACAAGGGTGCGCGATAAGGATGCAAGGGCCTTGGAGAGCCACGTTAACGATTTTCGAACGAGGCTGGCCAGCGAAAGTCGCCAAGGATGGGCCGAAGGGGCAGGGATGCAAAGGTAGCCTTCGAAAGTCGCCCATCCCCAACTGCACCCCAAAGCACGACTAAACCTACACCAGCGCCCGCACAACCAAGATCCGCGCCGATGTTTCCACTGCCCGCTGGTTCAAGACCTTATCAGCCCGCCGCACGCTTGTTCCTGAACTGGCACCACCACTCCGATGAGCGACATGGCGTCACAGGCGCCGCGCATACAATCCCAGTGAACAGCATTCGATGACCCCGCGGGAAGCGCGCACAAAAACAGAACTGCCTCCCAGCATGGGCTCCCACGATCCCTGCGCCGCTCAGCTGGGCGCCACGGCGCCCCCCCGAGGAGCACGAATGGTCCGGAACCGTGCCCCCTCGCACGTTTTCCCCGAACAGCTTGCTGAACGGGGTGCTGTTGCGATAGAAGCTGGATCAGGTCAAGGGACGGGCGACAAGAGAGATCTTCAAGAAATGTTTGTGGTCTGGCCCGTCTCGCCTGATACATCTTCGGAACTCTGAGCTCCGAGATGCCGCGCGAGAGAGGTGGTCTGGCGCGTTTCGCCTGAGACATTCTCGCAACTCTGAGCTCCGAGGGGCTGCGCGAGAGGTGGTCGGGCGCGGTTCGCCTGAGACATCCACCCAACTCTAGGCTCCGAGATGCCGCGCGAGAGGTGGTCCTGCGCGTTTCGCCTGAGACATCCGCACAAAACTGAGCTCCGAGGTGGTCTGGCCCGTTTCGCATGAAACATCCTCGCAACTCTCAGCTCCGAGAGGCCGCGCGCGAGGTCGTCCAGCGCGATTCGCCAAAGACATCCTCGCAACTCTGCGCTCCGAGCTGCTGCGCGCGAGGTCGTTCGGCGCGTTTCGCTTGAGACATCCTCGCAACTCTAGGCTATGAGATGCTGCACGAGAGGTGATCCAGTCCGTTTCGCCTGAGACATCCCTCCTCGCAACTCTGGGCTCCGCGATGCCGCGCGAGAGGTGGTCTGCCCGTTTCGCCTGAGACGTCGTCCACCCGACTCTGGGCGTCGAGTTGCCGTGCGCGTGGTCCGGCGCGTTTCGCATGAGACATCCTCGCATCTCTCAGCTCAGAGATGCCGCACGCAAAGTGGTCCAGAACGTCTCGTCTGAGACATCCTCGCAACTCTGGGCTCTGCGATGCCGCGCGCGAGGTGGTGTGGCCCGTTTCGCATGAAACATGTTTGCAACTCTGAGCTCCGAGATGCCGCGCGCCAGATGGTCTGGCCCGTCTCGCCTGTTCGCCACCCATAATGCTGACCTGGCACTGTGGCGGGACCTGCCGCAAGCAGCTGGATAATTAGATCGGCGGTGGACAAACCTCCCTTTAGTAAACCTCCCTTTAGTGAAAACGGCCTGGGATCGAAACCGACGGACCTGGACCCGCAAAAATGACGGCCGCGACGCCCTCTCGCGAACCCAAAACGGCCAATTCGCTAATCGGCGTGTCAGGGTAGGAGGTTTATCAACCTCCGATTGGAAGAATCTGGCCTATGACACGGTCTCGCGCAAGCGTGATCCCGCACTCCCACGTTTGCGATTTGCTCCACAACTTCGGTGCACCACCATGAGATTTCACCTGGCGATCAGCGATCAAAGGTCGGCTTCCATCGATCCCCAAGCATTCTTATGCCATTCGCGCAGGCTGCAGTCAGCGCCCCAAAGGATTCCCTTCGGAACGACTGGAAAGAGGCGTCAAGCACTGAACACACGTTGATGTTCGGGCACATATGAACAATACTGATAAGCATTAAGTCCACGGGAGCACTGCAGAGAGCAATGCGTGCCAACCCTGTGGGAACTCATGAACTACAAACGGTTGCCACGTAGCACCCCTACACCACACAATCCAATATATCGTCGCTGGCTTAATGAGCCCTGTTCGCGAAAACCGTGAGGCAACAGCAATCAAGCATTCTGTGCAATATGGCAACAGGTAGAGGAAAAAGAACCATGCACATACACCGATTTTGGCCAGGTCCATCCTGATCCCAAGATCGGTGCATACGCCCTCCTGCATTGGCCAGGATGGCATATGCACCGATCCTCGAGCCAAGGATGGGCCTGACCAGGACCGGTGCATGTGCATAGTTCTCTTCGCCCGAAACAGGTTGCTGTCATGGAGCAAGCATGAACAACTGCCAAAGAAACGCAACCACACAACACACACATGCACAAATACACAACAAACACACACACAACACACACACACACATCACACACAACACACGCAAATCACAATCACAGCACACACACAGGCATCCAAACACACACAGACACATGCGCGCACATACACGCACACACACACATACACACACGCACACACACACACACACGCCATACGCTTGGTACCAGTGTCGCGCATGGATCACAGACGGCAACGAACAACAACGGCCAAACGAGTGATCGAGCACTCCATGAAGGGCTCCCGCCTCCGAGACCCGAGAATACGGCCCTCCTTGAGGCAAGCGGGGTAGCCGAACTCAACAGTGAGCCAGACACGGAAGTCTCTTATGGACAATTGACCTGCTGGGGTCAAAAGGGACTGGTCCGAGGGAGGCTGTCGAGCTGCTATGTCACAACTAACTGTGTTAACATTTGGCGTGCTGGTCATCATTAACGTTGGCATACCCGAGCGATGGATGCGGCAGCAGACAAGTCAAGCGACAGCGAAGGATTGTGGCAAATCGCACCTGTCTGGTAGTGCCTGCCAGTAGCTCATGTCTTCGAGCACGAAGTGTGACAAAGCCCACCGACCGTGCAACCAACATGCCCCGAGGAACGCATTGAAGCTTGCCACGTCCGGGTGCAGACCTGACTGGTTACCCTCCTCACTTAGCTCCTCTCGTTCCTCCTCACCGTGCTCGTCCTCTCGCTGATGACTCTGCTCGTGTTCTCATCGTGCTTTTCCTTACTTGAACTCATGCACCTCTTGCCCCTCCCAATGCATGATGGTCTGTCTCACACGTGGTTCGGCAATGCGCAGCAAAACATGCCGTGCCATGCTGTCTGGCTGTCCGCTGAGACGTCCCCCTCTTCCTAGACCAGACCCGCACACGGCCAGATACAGCGAGCACCAGGGCACATACCAGGTCGCAGATTGCCACACTGATGTAATTTTGTAGCTGTCCAGATCGAAATATGTGCTTCCTGATTGGGCGCGCAGTGCACGGAGGTTTGTGGCATGTCTGAGAGCAGTTCGTGAGCCTCCCCAGCTGAAATGAACGCCCTTCCTGTTTCGTGCCGACCGTGGCGCGCGTTCGCGGAGTTGTGCGCGTTTAAAGATACTGGCAGCTCAGATGTCTTTCCTCTTCGCCCCTGGAATACTTAGGCGTGCCTCTAGCCCGCCACCCCCGTGGGACGCTTGAGGGAAAACAGTACATCCGATCCTCCTCCAAATCTTTTCCTTACACATGACTCCTCCCTGTCGCACCCCGAGACCGCTCGAAAGGGCGGGCTGGGCGTTTCGCCTGGGACTTCCTCACCACTTAGGACCCTGACGCAAAAAACGGACAACAACTTCACACATGGAGGGCGGGTGTTTTTCAAAATGTGACTCTCGCCTCAACGCCGCGCGCAGTAGGGCCGCGCAAATTCGTCCTAAAACGCTGTAAGAGTTTCACTCATTGGGGGCGGGCCGTTTTCAGAATGCGGCTCTCGCATGAGCGCCACGCACGTTCGTCTTAAACATTTCCAGAAGTTTCACGGATCGAAGGCGGTTCGTTTTCATAATGTGACTCTGCCCTCAGCGCCGCGCGCCGTCGTCTGAAAGGCGTCAAAAGCTTAACGGGTTGAGGCCGGCTTATTTTCAAAGTGTGGTTATCGCCGTAGCGCTGCGCATATTCGGTCTAAGAGCTCGCAAGAACTTAGCGAATTCTCATAGTTAGCGCACCAGCAATGGCAATCAGGTTAAGAGCATGATTTGCCATCGATAATAAGAGACCGAGAACTGTGCGCGGCCGCGGCGGGCTCAGACCATGGCCCCCGCCCTCCGACTTGCACTTGTTGTTGTAGTCCTGGCCCGCCTGCTGGATGACGGTCGCCGCGCCTGCGGTTGGCGGCGCCAAGTAGCAGGCAAAGCTGGCGCCGACAAGGCCCGCCAACTCGCGGCTGCTGCGTAGCGCCAGGCGGCGCCAGATGGTGATGAGGACCGCTGGTGCTCCTCAGGCTCCTTCCTTGTCCTCGAGAACCTCCTCCTGCAGCTTGGCCAGCTCGGTGTCCTGCGAGCCCGGCCCCGCTCCGTTCACCTTGCGTTTTCCCGATGGTGGCTTGAACCAGTCTGGAGCAGCCGCCGCCTCCATCGCCCACCGCTGGCAGGATAATAAAATGAGAACGCATATGCGTCAGTGGTTCTCCCGTCGGGCACTGTTGAGCCCCGCGCCGCGGACAAATTAATGCTGTCTGCGACGTGGCCCGATAAGAAGTGTTCCTGGAATAGACGCGCCCTCCTGCCTTGAAGCTCAGTGCGGCGCGCTGACGCGCTGAACTGCGGCTTGCGAAGATACTCTGGCAGACGAAGCGCTGATTGAAATAAGCAGCCTGGCCCAGGACCGCGCGACGACCGCGGCGATGCTGGAGAGATGGGCCAGGAGCTGTCGTTTTTCAGCGAAAAACTCTTAGGCAACCACCTACTGCGCATCAGGAGTCGGTCAAGTCGGGGCCCCCCCGAAGCTCGGCCGACTTGCCGTCGGGCGACGACGCGAGGTATCCAGGGAAAGAAATACATACTCCTCGTTTTTTTGCCCCGAGGATACTGGGGCCCAGCTGGGCAAGCCACTCAGGGGGGCCCGGGGATGTGAACAGCTTGAAGGGCGCGCGGTTAAACCCCTGAACCATCGCATATTCAGCGCCCCCGCCCCAGAGAGGAACAACGTCGTCAACGAACCTCCTGGCCCTGGCCCAAGGGCAAGCGCAATCAGAAACTTGGCCCATGTCGTTTAGGATGATGAGACCCCGCTCCTTGTCCACCCTCGCAATGCCTAGTGACCCCTCTCAAGCAGCAGCCGCGCCCGATACTGCGACGCCATTTAATGCGGCCGCGATCGCCCCGCGTCGAAAGACAGCGACGTTCGATATGGGGAGACCATATGGGGCCCACTAAAGAAGTATCGCCCCCCCCCCCCTGCGTGGATTTCCCTGCATAAGCCAACATGCGAATCAAGATCTCCTCGAGCTGGGCCGGGGCGTGCGCGCGCGCCCATGCCTGGCATTGCCGGGGCCCTGGTGCGACCGAGGAAGCCGGTTATGTTTTCGACGCGCGACGGGAGCTCTCGATGCCGGCGTCGGCCCGTGGCCCACAAGCCAGCATCCACTGCGCCCAAACGACGCGGGGCCTCGCTAATGAACGTAGCATCTGCACGAATAACTCCCCCCAAGTACTTTTGCGCGCCCCTGCCCCCGGCCCGCTAACAGAAGTAGCCCATCGCGAAATCGGCGACGCACGGGTTGAGAAATCTGGCCAATTACTGCCGCCACAATCTAATTTCAGGAAAGGTTGATGAGGTAGTTGCGACTCTGCCTGCAATTGCTGCGGACACCTTTACATGACGAAGATGTTTGGCTCAATTCAACCCCGACATCCTCGCGTGATCCATTCAAAACATGCCTGCGAGTGGCGTCGCCAACGTAGCTGTGGAAGGCGAGGTCGGGCTGTTCAATGTCGTCGCTGTCCGTCGGCATATCTACCGCGCGCCACTGCGCTGTCTCATCGCCCGCATCAGCGAACTGGTCCTGCACCTCCTGAAATACTTGGCCCACCTCTCTGGCGATGACCATGGCCGCCCACGGGTCTGCTTGCAGCGCGCTGACGTTGGGCTCCGCGAGCAGAACTCCTTCAGAACCCAGGAAACACTCTGCCGGGCGTAAACGGCGATGTCTTCCAAATATCGTATCCTGGCTTCGCATGGTCGTCGAGTTGCCCCTGTTAAGTTCTGAGAACGAAGAGCCCCCGAAAGCGCTCGTGAAAACCTTATTACCTTGGATATCTTGGAGCCCCAACCGTCGGAATCTCCACCCAACCGATTGCCGCGCCGTCGCGAGCGTTGCTCCCCTGCGGAAGGCCGCGCATGCACGTGGACAATTGGGCTCCAAGATGCGCTGCGAATAACAAATGCACGTCGAGATGACTGCGTTCCCACATGGACATGGGACGCGAATGGCCCGCTTCCACGCAATGGCCACCCCGCCAAATGAATTCCATGATAAAGGCATGCCGCCTGTGCGATATACCTTGCGCACCATACTCTGGAAGAATGCGCGTTGCGCGCGCGTCAGAATCTAGCCCTTCATATCCAAGCCCACGTTGCCAGATGTTCGCATGCGAGGGTGCGGCAACATCCAACAGAGTTCAAGTGGGAGAGAAAATGGTGGGGATGCTGTCTGTATGTGCTGCGGCTCGAAAATGTCCGCTGGTGAGCTGCAACGCGTCACGTGCCCAATCCAATCCACGGTGTGACCATGGCCCCACGATATATTCATGTTCAATGCCATCTTGCTCATAGAATTTAATGTTCAACGCGTTGTTCCAAGCTAGGAATGATACCTGCTTCAATTCCGCCGTCACCCGAGGGAAGCGAGGTCGCGTCCCTCTGGCAGAGAGAAGTCGCGAAAGCCGTGCCTCCTCTGCTGTGCGTCCCTGGCGTTGAGCTTGCGCGAGCTCTTGAGCAGTTGCCTGCCGTCATGCCACAAGACGTTGTCGCCGCTGCTGTCTTTGAGCTCGAAAGAGAGAGAGAGAGAGAGAGAGAGAGCGAGAAAAAAAAAACTGAGTTACTGTGGAATGGTTATCTCCTGCTCTGTGGTGCCGTCACCATGCACAGTCGAAGGCCGGCCGGCAAGTTGAATGTGAAGTTGATGCGTTTCTTGAAGCAACTGGAGTACGTGGCCAGCTCGTTGATTGTAGCCTGCTGGGGGCTCCATTACTAAAGGAAAAAACTGCCCCTTTTGCACCGCAGCCTGGGATACGTATGCTTTTCGCGTCGTACCTGCTGGTGTATATCAGATTTTGCAAAATTTCGATGTGCCACCGCATTCATACAATTAGCTCTGTGCGTGCCTCCAGGGAGGGAGTCCATGAGCGCCTCGCGGTTCCATTCGATAGGCTGGTGTGCAAATCCATGGCGAAACGAAGATTGCAACCGAGCATGTACGCCAAGGGTTGCGCGAATGGTAAAGGCGACGCGAACATGGACTGGAATCACATCTCGGTGGTCTCTGGACGACATAACTTGAAGCTCAGGGGCCAATCGCAGAAGAGGTCCTGCATTTCTTACTGAAGCCGGACAGCATCTTGGAAGTATTCCAACATCACGTTGGGAGCTCGTACCACTGGCCCAATACATCTGAACGTGTTGCCAAGTACCATATCAAATTGATCGAGAAAACGAAGTAGATCATCAACTGCATGCCGTTGACGCACTAAGGGCGCATGGGCTCCTACGCATTGAGGTGCTATCGGTTGCCACTCCTCTTGACCATGATGCTGATAGAATCCGAACCCAAATTTGAGGTCCAGGCAGACCACTGGCATGCAACTGTGAGCAATCCAGATCGACCGCAACCGGAGCCAGTTAAGCAATGCACCGCAGGCACGTCGATAAGCAGGGACCTGTCGAGCATGATGAGGTGGCGGAGGTGAACGCAAGTTGCAGATAACCAGGTCGAACAGCTTGATCTTGGCCCGGATGGCCAGCCCTCGTCTCGCCGCCACCTGGCGAGTGGTCACCACGTTGGCGACGCTCCTTCTGGGAATGCGCAGGCCCAATGTGATCGAGCAGCCTGCAAACTTATTGCAGCAGGGCCCTCTTTCAAGCCATGATAGAAGCACCAACGCATGGCCCTGCTCTACGCCAATGTGCCTCTTCAGCTCCCTGCCGCTATTCTGTGGTTGCAGTCAGACACACGAAATCCAGATTACCTGTGCGAAGAAAAATCACATTCAGTCTAGTAAAGCGGCTAGATGAAAGCGGATTGTCTTGAAAGGCTCAGACATGCTGCATCATGGATACGGCCAGCAGCCGCCGAACTAGAATAGAGAGGCAATGGTGAGATGCACTGCCATCTGAGCAGAACATGACACAACACTGACTGCAGAAAGGCTGGTAGGCTACGTTGTCGTGTGTGTAAGATGGCGCCCGAGCCAAGGGCACTTAGAAGGAGATGGACGAGGCGAATGACGGATAACGAGGGATGAAGACGATGCTGATGATAATGATGGCGATGGTGATGATGATGGTGATGATAAGAATGCTGGCGCGCCTTAGAAGGTGGGTAATATTAATATCTTGCCTTCTCAGATCTAGGTCAAATTTCAATATGAGAAGAAGAGTGAATGGCAGGAGGGCGCTGAGGAGGCGGTCAAAGATAGTCAGGATCCATCCACTCTCCTAAATTCCCTTGGGGCTCATCCATTTTTTCCTTCTGCACCTCACCCACCTCCTCGATATAAATGGGTACTCTAACTTTTTGTTTCCGCTTTTGCGGCTGCGCCCCCGTCGCATTTCGGTCGAACCATGTGCTGGGGCTTTGTCTCCGCAAGAGAATGACGACCAAACAGAGGAGCTCTACGCAACAGCGCAGCAAGCATACCAGGAAAAATGCGCCGGCTAACCTGCAGCAGGCACACGGACGTGGTGAGACATGAAGGCTGCGGTGAGAAACGCGCTGGCGCTGATCATCTCGGGAGGGGGGCGAACGGGAGCGTTGCGAAACTTTTGCAGGGGGGGGGGGGCGAATCAGCTACATGCAGCTGGCTTTCCAAGCTCCCTTGGGGCACCGAACGCGGCAGTTGACATACTGAGCAGACGTTCTGGGCACTGGGTGCAAAATCCAGCTGCGTGCAGCAATGTGTTCATACCACCCCATTCTCCAACTCCTTCCCTGTCCGACACCGAGCAAGCTGTGCGCCAGCAGTCGAGTGCACGCCGCACTAGACGCCCCGCAGAGACCGCCGCCAGCACAACGCGCATCAGCCCTGCGAGCCCACGGCGACGTTTACGACGTAGAACGCCATGCCCATGCATACAGTCATGTAAATCAGCCACCGCTTGCAGCGGTTGGTGTGTGTACGTGTGTACGTGTGAACGCGTGCGTGTGTGTATGCGTGTGTGCGTATGTGTGTGTGTGTGTGGGTGTGCGTGTCCGCGCGCCTGTGTGTCGGCACTTTCTGTGCTTTCGTCAGTTTCACTTCTTGCGCGGCATACATTGGGCCCAGCGGCCCAATGAGCCCAACACGCGCCCATGTTTTGCACATCGGCCCCACGTTTTTCGGCCATCCAGGTAAGTCTGGGCGCCAGATTCAGACTTCCAGAATTGCGTGGCGGCGGATTCGCGCGGCAACGCGGCTGGATCCACAACATGGCCTCCCTCCGCTTGATGTGGCCGAGCTGGAAGTCGCCCCTCGCGTTCGCGGAGGAGACCTCAGCGGCCTGAGAAGCCCAACAGAAACAGCCAGACCTACGCTGGCACAAACCAAATGGAAACAAACAAACGGCCAAACTGACGGCGGAGGGGGGGCAACAGAAGGGGGCCACACAGAAACAGCCAGACAGCCAGCCAGCCCAAATCTAATCGAAGCGGATTTTCGGACCCCACCCGGGGTCCGTCCTGGACTAAATGTCGAGCAGCGTCCAGCCGTGACAACGAGGAACCAGCCGGGCTTGGATGCTTTGGCGGGTCCTCAAGCACTGCCTGCCCGATTGCTGTCTCACCGACCGGTCCTGCTTGGCAAGGGCGGCTGGCCCACAATCTCCAATGTCACGACATCCACGCGACGTCGCGCCCCCCCCACCCAGACCAGGACCTCTCGGCCCCACCCCAGCCCCAGGGGAACGGCCATTCGCCAAATGCCCTCGATGGCCCTGGGGCCCGCCACAAGCGAGCCTCTGGGGGCCCCAAACCTGGAAGACGATGGCGACAGCTCCGGAAAGTCTGGATCCAAACGGGGAACACATTTTTTCCGCCGCCTTCCGCCGGCGGAGAGGCCCTCGCTGCGCTTCCGCCGGTTCGTTAGCCTTCCGCCGAGGGCGAGATGCGCCGAAGGCGACGCCTTGTCCTGGATCGCTCCGGGGGAGGCGTCGGGGGCCACCGCCGGGCCTTCATGAGCGCGCAAAGCCCCACGATTGGGCAGCAGCACAAGCACGCCAGGAAGGCCAAGCACATCGGCGGGTCGGCCCGCTCGTCGAAGGCGCCGTGAACGTACCCGGAGCCCCCCGCGTAGGGGTTGGGCTGGTGGGTCTCCATGCCCATCGGCCGGTGAGGCGTCGGCGGGTAAGCCAGGCCCTGAAAGTGCTCGGGGGAACGGGGCACGGGAGAGGATGGAGGAGGGGGAAGGGCGAGGGAGAGGGAGGTGAGGGAAGAGACGGCGGCGGAGGATGGAGGATGGAGGGCCAGGATGGAGAAGGCAAAGGCTTGAGGAGGAGGAGGAGGAGGAGGAGGAGGAGGAGGTGGAGGAGGAGGAGGAGGAGGAGGAGGAGGAGGAGGAGGAGCGGACCGTAGAGGGAAGAGTCCAGATCCCACCTACGGCCCGCCCGACGACGCGGGCGGCAGCGGGGCGGCGGGCGCGCCTGGGTCGGCGCCAGGATGTACCGCGGAGGTGCGGACAGGCTCTCGGCGGAGGGGGGCAGCAGCAGGAGGGTCGAACGCAGGGAGGTGGGAAGAGATGGACAGGCAAGGCGGGCGAGAGGCCAGACAATTTGCGTCGAAAAGACGCCAACCACTGGCTCCAGACACGGGCGGGTGGTGGACTCCTTCACCCGAGATCTCCAAGCCACACGCGAAGCGGACCCCAAACAGGCCGCCAAGCGGCGCAGGAGAGGGAGCGGCGGGAGCACGGACGAGAGGCGCGCAAGCACTGCTAGGGTGGGGAGAGACCGCCAGACACCCAGCAGGTCCGATGGGTCCCAGCACAGAGTCGGACAGAGCGAGCACACAGGTGGCCTCAGGATCACTCGGAGGGCACGGATCCGAGGGGGCTTCAAGCGGGGTGTCATGCGCATCATCGATGGCGAAGGCCTGCATCTGATAATAGACTGGTCCCGAGCTCGAGGAGGTGGCAGGCGCAGCCGGGGGCGGGGCCGACGAGGTCGCGGTAGCACTCTGGGTCGGCGATGGCCGCGTCCACGAGCACGGTGCCAATTCCCGTGGAGTCGTCGACCAGATCCAACAACGTCCCGACCATCTGGCAGCCCTGGACAGTACGGAAGCCGCGACATCCTCCTCACAATTTGTATGAGCCTGCTGCACTGGGTTCGAGGAGCACCCGCGCGCAGGACTTTGCGTTCTGATCCCTCCCACCGTCAAAGGTTCAATTGGCAGAGACCCGCATGCCACTGCAGGCATATCCTCGCGACTTACTCCAGACGCCTGAGTCGACGGGCTCGAGGAGCACCCGCCGTCAGGACTTTGCGTTCTGACCTCGCCACTTTCGGAGCGCGCCAGGTGGGGGGCATCCGTGCGCGATCGAGACTCGCCCTCGCAACTTACTCCATCAGCCTGACCAGACGGGCTCGAGGAGCACCCGCCGACAGGACTTTGCGTTCTGACATCAATAGTGGTCGGTCGCACCCAGTCGCTGTCATACAGGGCGTGCAGGGGGCCAACGCGTTCGGGAGTGGCCACAGCCGTCGAAGGAGTGCCAGGCGTCGCCAGTGGTGCGCGCGAGCAGAAGTCGAACGACACCAGTTCATCCTCATCGGCATCCAAGTCATGCGGCTCGGGGATCAGCATCGGGGTCAGGCCAAGGCCGCCGTCTAAGTCCGCGCCGCCCGCACATCCACACGACGGAGCAGACGATGACGTCGAAGAGACAGATGAAGAGGAAGACGTGCCACGTCTCCGTGGAGTCATAAAGCGGGTGCGCCACAGCGGTGGCGAGTCGTCCGAAAGCGCAGAGGTAGTGGCCATTCGCATGCTCCTCACTCCCGCCAGCGCGGCACTAAAGGCATCCTGCTCGGAGATCGGCCAGTCGGGGATCAGGCGGACAGTGTTATACATGCTCACCGCTGCTGCCATGAAGCCATATGCGGAGGTCGAGGGCGCCACGAAACCCCACCTCTCAGCGAGCTCCATAGGGAAGCCATGCCCAAGGGCTCGACGAAGCGCGGCATGCATACGTACACACCGCGAGTAGTGGATGAGTGAGTCAGCGCATTTGTGGCATCCAAAGGCACATCCACGTCTACCCGCAGGATGAAGAATACGCGAGGAAGTAAGCCAGCCATCGCACCAGGTCCTCAACGTCGCCCATGCCCAGGAGCAGAGGCATTGGCTGAGCGTGGCAGCAATCTGCTGCCAGTCGAGCTGGTCGAGTAGGGTACCATCCCGTCGGAAGAAGAACTTTTGAAGCCGCATGCGTAGGAGCTCACGAAGAGGTGCTGTCCGAGCCGCAAGATCACGAAGAGCACGATGGACAGTCCGTGGAGGTCGAGACCGAACGCCAGGCGGGACTTCAGCAGCATTCGCAAGGGCCTCACGAGCGCAGGGAAGAAGCGCGGCCCAGGGCCCCGCGGACGCGGGACCCCCCAGGGCCTGCGCGAGGTTCTCGACAATGGCAGGGCTCCGCCAGAAGCCAGGGTAGGGTGCGCCAGTGCCGACCATGTCCAGCGTCATGGAGTCAGTGAGTGCCTCCGCGTGGGTCCGCATGCTGTTCAACAGCTGCTGGTGCTCGGGGAAAGTGTGGGCGGCCGACCTCACCAAGGTGGCCAGGTTGAGGTGGGCCCAGCGCTGAACTCGCGGTCCTTGCCAGAGGTCCACCTGCGCCCGCGCGTTCAGCGGGAAGGTGCCCAGGGCGACACGGTAGACTCGCGCGAGCACACCTAGCTCGCAGGCGAGTACAGCTCTTGGCATCCAAAAGAACTGGCTAACGTATGAGAGTGTGGTGAGGATACGCGTATTGTAGATGATGGATGAGAGGCTGGCCGGGGCGACGCCTCGCCCAACAGCTCGAGCCCGCAGCCGCGCCTTCGCAAGAGGGCCAGCCCAGGGTCTCACTGGGTCCACGGAGGGACCAAGCCAAATCCCAAGGTAAAGGAGCTCTGAGACGATCTTCATGGAGGACCAGTGGGGTACTGCCTGGGAGAGCCCCCCCAGAGCCCCCAAAGCGAGGGCGGGACTAAAGGAGGCTGAAACAGGGACCACCTGGCACTTCTGAATCTTCAAGACAAGGTTCGCCATCAACTCCGCATCCCTCATCGCGAGGGCGACCCAGGCCATGTCCTCAATGCTCACCAGAGTGCCGCCGATGTCGTCGGCGCACGCACGCACGAGCCCGCGGCCCGCTTCCTCGGTCACGCGGACGAGGCGGTGCAAGAACGGTGACGACGCTATAGCATACAGCGAGCCCCACAATGCACAACCCTGAATGATCCCGCTACGGACCCAGTACAGGTGAACACGGAGCCCCATGGAGATCGCGATACCCTCGATGGCCTCATATAGGAACCCAACGAACATCAGGATAGCCTCTGGAAGGCGAAGAGCCCCAAGTATGAACAGCAAGAACTCCTGATTCAGGGACGGGAAGGCCTGGCCCCAGTCCAGACTGTAGAGAATCGGTAAGTCACGCGAACCGTATGGTGTGCACGAGAGCTGGCGGCTTGACACGTCCAACTCCAGCACATTCAGGCCAAAGTTCCGCCCTGGAACAAAGCCCCTTTGACAGGGGGGGGCGACGCGTTCAAGAATGGGGCGAAGGGCAGCATTCATGGTGGCTGAGAGGACCTTCCCGCCGCAATTGCGGAGACCGAGCGCCCTCACATTGTCCGCCCCCCTCTCGACCTGGCCGGCTCGGGCCTTGTCTTCGGAAACATTTTTGGGCAAAAAGACCTGCAGCGTAATGCTCGCCGAATCAAACAATGCCTGGCCCCTCATCACCCACTCCAGACAGCCCCAGAGGATGGTCACGCCAAAAGGCTCGGATCGCCACGCCGTATAAGAGAGCCCATCGCATCCAGTCGCAGAGTCGGTGGCACGCGCAAGCACAGCGCGTGGGAGGCGAGGGGTAGGAGGAGGAAGTACCACTTCATCAACAGCAGGTAAGTATTGAGCGGCATACTCGATCGCCCTGTCGCGGCCCCAGGGCTTCTTGGAGAACACAGGGGCCCAGTAGCTCTTCAGGAGGCCCACGCGTTCGGAGGGGTCACACGCAGCACGCCCGTGCCCATCGGTGACTGCCGTCAGGCATGCGCGACGATTTAACGGGGACCACAGACCAGCCCGCCTTTCCAGGGATCGCAGCTGCAATCGAGTGGCACGCACTTCCTGAGGAGAGTCCTTCCTTCTTTGCAGCTCAGCCCGTGCACGCTCCGCCGCCTCCCACTGGAGTCGGTCAGACCAAGCGTGAAATGACTCAGGATGCAACGGCTCGACCACGGGACCTCGGACACGAATGAAGTCAGACGACACGGGGTGGGATTCCAGAAGCTTCCTGGCCAACTTCACATCGCACCACTCTGGCAAGTGAGCGAGCAAGCTGGAGCAAGGTGGACGGGTGGTGGGGGCATCGTCGGAAATCATTATCACGCGCTTCACGTGCAACTTCTTCCACGAGATACTTATAGTGTTCTAACCGATATGGAGGCGACGTACTATCCCAGTCAGCACATTCATTCATTGCACGAATGCGCTCCTGGCACCTCGGGTCCTGGAAGAGATGTTTGGCGAGAGGGCGTTCGGCAGGGGGATGAGCAGCACGGGGGGCAATAGCGATCACGACGGCAGCGTGGTCCGAGACGACCGAGTCCGAGGCGGATGCCGCGGAATCGACGGCGGCTGCCTGAAGACGATGTCGGCAAGAACCATCCACCCAAGAAGAGAGAGGAAGAGACGATCAATAGCGGCCTCCGGGTTGGACTTTTTCTCGTAGTGCGACCCCGTATCGCACTCCACTTCGACGAGCTGCGAGAGGGCCTGGCGCCAGACTTGGGCCTGCCCATGATGTTGCCTCGCAGCACGACGTACTGCGGCCTGAAGCATGTGAAGAACAACTGCCTCTTCAGCAGCGAAATTGAAGTCGCCCGCGACCAGCGCGAGCCGCTGGGCGGGGGCGCGGAGCGCAGCAGCGCGAGCCTCGAGGATAATCCTGACGATCTCTCTGACCTGCACTCTCTTCAGATCAGGATCGTGAATGTTAAAGATGCCCATGCATATCGAGCCACACTCGACAGTAACATGCAGAACCCGACCAGGTACAAGAGCCACAGCGTGGCTTCGCACGCGCCCCCCAGCTGCCCGGCAACATTGAGGAAGAAGAACGGCAACACCCCCACGGATACGGCCCGCAC